CGTGTGGGAGACTGGGAAGAAGCACCTGGTTCCTGGCTTCGGGTTGGCGTAGCTCCAACCGTGGTGGCCATTTGGGGAGTGAACCAACGGAAGGAAGATCTCTCTCTCTCTCTCTCTCACTGTCTAACACTATCTGTTAAATAAATTAAAAAAAAAAAATTTAGGCACTCTGACATAGGATGCAAGTGTCTGTTAGGCCAAAACACCTGCCCCAATTTGGTACTTTTATTTATTTGAGAGACAGAGAGGTATCTTTTTTTTTTTTTTTTTAAAGATTTACTTATTTATTTGAAGGAGCTACACAGAGAGAGGAGAGGCAAACAGAGAGAGAGACATCTTCCGTCTGTTGGTTCACTCCCCAGTTGGTCGCAACAGCCGGAGCTGTGCTAGGAGCCAGGAGCCTCCTCTGGGTCTCCCATGTGGATGTAGGGGCCCAAGGACTTGGACCATCTTCTGTTGCTTTTCCAGGCCATAGCAGAGAGCTGGATTGGAAGTGGAGCAACCGGGACTTGAACCAGCACCCATATGGAATGCTGTGGCTTTACCTACTATACCACAGGCCATAGCAGAGAGCTGGATTGGAAGTGGAGCAGCCGGGACTCGAACCAGCACCCATATGGGATGCTGTGGCTTTACCTACTATACCACAGGCCATAGCAGAGAGCTGGATTGGAAGTGGAGCAGCCAGGACTCGAACCAGCACCCATATGGGATGCTGTGGCTTTACCTACTATGCCACAGGCCATAGCAGAGAGCTGAATTGGAAGTGGAGCAGCCGGGACTCGAACCAGCACCCATATGGGATGCTGTGGCTTTTCCCACTACGCCACAGACAGATATTGAGTGACCCAGAGATAGAGAACTCCCATCTGCTGGTTCACTCCTCACATGCCCTCAACAGTGGGGACTGGTCCAGACTGAAACTTGAGCCCTCACCTCTTGCTTCCCAGTATGCTCGTTAGCAGGAACCAGACCTGGGACTAGAACCCACGCTGTCCAATCTCAAATGTGGATATTCCAAGTAGCGTCTTAACCATGGCACCATATGCCCGTTTTTTAAGAAACTATGATACCATTTGAATTCACGCTATTTCCAATTCAGATTAATGAATATATGGGTTTTTAATTTCGTTATTTAAATTTTAAAATTAATTAATAATTTTTTTTTTACTTGAAATGCAGAATTAGGGGGGGGGGGGGTTTCTTCTGTCAGTTCACTTTCCAGATGGCTGCAATGGCCAGGGCAGGGCCAGGCTGAAATCAAGAGCCAGGAGTTTCATCCGTTCTCTGATGTGGGCGCCAGGGGCCCAACTACTTGGATCATCTTCCACTGCTTTTCCCAGGCCATTAGCAGGGAGTTGGATCAGAAGTGGAACCCCTGCCTATCTGGGATGCCAGCTTAACAGGCAGTAGCTTTACCAGCTATGCCACAGTGCCGGCCCCAAATTTCATTATTTTTCTTTCTGTATCTCTCCTATCATGAAAATACTGATTCCCAACCATGCCAACATAATTATTTATTTATTTATTTATTTATTATTTTTTGGCAGGCAGAGTGGACAGTGAGAGAGAGAGACAGAGAGAAAGGTCTTCCTTTGCCGTTGGTTCACCCTCCAATGGCCACTGTGGCCAGTGCGCTGCAGCCAGCGCACCACGCTGATCCGATGGCAGGAGCCAGGTACTTATCCTGGTCTCCCATGGGGTGCAGGGCCCAAGCACTTGGGCCATCCTCCACTGCACTCCCTGGCCATAGCAGAGAGCTGGCCTGGAAGAGGGGAAACCAGGACAGAATCCGGTGCCCCGACCGGGACTAGAACCCGGTGTGCCGGCGCTGCAAGGCAGAGGATTAGCCTAGTGAGCTGCGGCGCCGGCCCAACATAATTATTTATTTGCAAGTACAATACCCACACAAAAGTATCAAAATAATAACGATGTTGGTAATTATTAATATGATTGCTAAAAAAAATTCAAGCTTTTTTCAGTTTTCTTAATTTTGTTAGTTTGTTTTGATTTGCTTTTGGTCTTTAGGGTATATCCTGCTAGGAATGTCAGTTGAATTATTGTGCTTTAAGTTAATTTTGTAGGGTTTCTTTGTAAGGTTGTTCAACCAATGCTGTACTCAGTGATTTTGTTTTTGTTTTGCTTTCTTTTAGGAATGTAAAAGATTTCATTATCTTTGTTCATTATGTAAAGTATTTACAGTTGTTGAAAGTTAAATGTACAAAACAGGATATATTTAAAGGCAGTCTACTTTATTTTTTAAATATTTATTTGAGAGGTAGAGTTACAGACAGAGAGGGAGAGACAGAAAGGTCTTCTTTCTGTTGGTTCATTCTACAATGGCTGCAGTGGCTGGAGCTGCGCCAATCCGAAGCTAGGAGCTTCTTCTGGGTCTCCCACGTGGGTGCAGGGGCCCAAGGACTTGGGCCATCTTCCACTGCTTTCCCAGGCCATAGCAGAGAGCTGGATGGGAAGAAGAGCAGCCAGGACTAGAACCAGTGCTCATATGGGATGCCGGTGCCGCAGGTGGAGGATTAACCTACTGCGCCATGGCACCAGCCCCATAAAGGCAATCTACTTTAAATATCTGTCCCACAGTTTTGTTTCTTTTTTTATCAGAAATTTTCAAACATATGTTGGAGACTAGAGTTACAAATATATATATATATATATATCCATCACTCAGTTTTGACAATTACCTGGTTATTGTTATTCCTATGTATTTATTTTTTTAAATATTTTTTATTTTATTTATTTGAAATTCAGAGTTATGCAGAGAGAGAGAGAGAGGTCTTCCATCCGATGGTTCACACCCCAGATGGCCGCAATGGCCAGAGCTGCGCCGATCCGAAGCCAGGAGCCAGGAGTTTCCTCTGGGTCTCCCATGCGGGCGCAGGGGTCCAAGGACTTGGGCCATACTCTTCTGCAATCCCAGACCATAGCAGAGAGCTGGATCGGAAGTGGAGCAGCCGGGGCTAGAACCGGCGCCCATATGGGATGCTGGTGCTTCAGGCCAGGGTGTTAACCCGCGGCGCCACAGCCCCGGCCCCCTATGTATTTATTTATATACTCACTTATTTAGTCACATTTCGTTACTGTACTTTCAGAATTAAATATCTTTAATATTTGTAGAAGTTTTTTTTTTTTTTTTCTCTGTTGGTTTATGTGATGTCAGCCGTAGCTTTTGACTGACAGGCAGAGTGGACAGTGAGAGAGAGAGACAGAGAGAAAGGTCTTCCTTTGCCGTTGGTTCACCCTCCAATGGCTGCCGCGGCTGGTGTGCTGCAGCCGGCGCAGCGCGCTGATCCGATGGCAAGAGCCAGGAGCCAGGTGCTTTTCCTGGTCTCCCATGGGGTGCAGGGCCCAAGCACCTGGGCCATCCTCCACTGCACTCCCTGGCCACAGCAGAGAGCTGGCCTGGAAGAGGGGCAACCGGGACAGAATCCGGCACCCCAACTGGGACTAGAACCAGGTGTGCCGGCGCCGCTAGGCGGAGGATTAGCCTAGTGAGCCGCGGCACCGTTGTTTTTTTTTTTTTTTTTATTTAACAGAGTTAGACAGTGAGAGAGAATGACAGAGAGAAAGGTCTTCCTTGGGCTGGTTCACCCCCCACAAATGGCCGCTGCGGCTTGGCGCACTGTGCCGACCCGAAGCCAGGAGCCAGGTGCCTCCTCCTGGTCTCCCATGTGGGTGCAGGGCCATCCTCCACGGCACTCCTGGGCCACAGCTGAGAGCTGGACTGGAAGAGGAGCAGCCGGGACTAGAACCCAGCGCCCATATGGGATGCTGGCGCCGCAGGTGGAGAATTAACCAAGTGAGCCACAGCGCCGGCCCCTAATATTTGTAGAAGTTTTGAGGGCAAGTTTGTATTTTAGTGCAGATGTGCTACTAGGAGAAGCAGATGACAAATGAGAGAGTAGAGGTAACTGCAAGAGTAAAATTCTTGAGAAGTTAACGTGGTCCAGAGTGGCCTTTGACAGAACCAGAGGCACTTCATGTGTGTTTTCAGGGAAGACGCTAACAGCTGTCATTGCACTTATTTTTGAGATGGAGAGAAAGGCTAAAGAGAACATCGTCTTAGATTTTCTCCCTGGAGTAGTGATTGTTCTACATCAGTTCCTGACACTGAGCTTACAGGCTTCCAGCAGAAAGCTTACCCATAGCGCAGAGCAGAGGCATGTGGACAAATAGCGTCTGGCCAGGGCGGGAGCTGAGTACTGGCGATGCATGTGCTCGAAGTAGGCTTCAGTAGTAATGTCTTCGTGTTTCAGTTGTTAGGCAAGTGCTCTTCTCGAAAGTGGCAAAGGTGGTTTTGTTTCACTAAGTAAATTAGTGTTATAATGATGAAGGATGCTGATTGAAGAGGGATAAAGGCAATTTAATGTCTGGTTTTGCTGATCATCTTGATTTAGTAAAATTCCTTTATGTATCATTTTGGCCTGTGGGATTGGCACAATGCATAAGAGCAAACTTTGACTAGATAGTCAATAATTGTTTTGTTCTAGGTCATATAATTGTTTTAAAGTTTTTATTTATTTATTTGAAAGAATGACAGAGAAGAGTTAGAGGAAAGACCTCCTATTTGCTTGTTCACTCTCAGATGCCTACAACAGCCAGCACTGGACCAGGCAGCCTCCAGGAGCTGGGAACTCCATCTCGGACTCATGGGTAGCAAGTACCCAAGTACTTGGGCCATCATCCAGGGCCTTCCCAGGCTCGTTAGCAGGAAGCTGGATTGGCAGTGGAGGGACCAGCCCTCTACAGGATGTCGTCTCCCAGGCTGCAGCTTAACCACAGTGCTGTGCCACTACTCCTGTAATGTCCACCCCTAGGTCGTATGGTTCATTCTGTAGTAGGCCTGTATAAATTTAATAATGAATGATTTATAGTGGCATTCGATTCCTTTTTTTCATATGTACTTGTAACCTGCCTCTTGTTGATTGATCTCAGACTGTTAAAATAATTTGTTAAAATTGGCTTTATTTTCCTTTTTCTCTTAGGAGCAGCCACCGTATCCTAACTACAACTCAAACTATTGGAATTCTACTGCACGACATCGGGCTCCTTACCCAAGTACATATCCCACAAGACCAGAATTGCAAGGCCAGGTATGGCTTCAAGTGGACAGAATTTCTAAATTTCTTAATGAAGTGACTTATTTTCAGAACCTATTGAGATTTCATGCTAGTTATGTGTAGCTTTTTTTTTTTTTTTTTGATTTAATGGGCTCCATCGATTTCATCTTAATGTTTTTAGCTCAAAGATAAAGAAATATCTGGGCTACTTTTAGTAGCTTGAGGCTTAATAGATTATTCCACAGGGGACCCGGAAGACAAAAAACATAAAATATATTTATTTATTAAAATTCTAAAACATTGGCACATTGCAATTATATATTTTTGGGGATACAGTGTGACATTTCAGTACATATATGCAGTCTGATGATCAGATCAGGGCGATTGACTCAACTATTGCCTTAGCCATATGTTACTTAAAACTTGACTTCTTATGACAAATACGAAATTTTAAATATTTCATGCATATAAAGAGAATACAAAAAATAAGTATAGCTTTTTGTTTAGCACCTAGCTTTTTCAGTTTGCCACATTTGTTTCAGATTTTTTCAAAGAAGTAAGGCATGAAGGCCCATATAACATATCTTTTCATTTCCTGAAGCAGATATATGTATATATACATAGCATATGTAAAACACATATCATATGTGTATTTTAATTTAATTAACTACTGTGTGTATATATCTCCTAAACTTTATATGGTGTTACTTAACATGTTTTTAAACTTGGTATGTGTAATTTCATCCTCTTGCATCTTGTGTTCAACCTTTTCACTTTTCTGTCATACACATAGATAAAAATTTCACTACGTTTGGTATCACTGGGTTTGAGTATATACATCTTTATTAGATATACCTAAGTTACTTTCCAAAATTGTTGTGCCATGAAGAAATGTTTTAATGTCAGTCACCTATAGTTTTGCCACCCTAATAAAGCAGTGACTGTCAGTGTGCTTATTTCCTTCCATTTCTTTCTATATACCATATTTCTGTATACAGATCATTTCTTAGAATATGATTGTAATATATAATTTTTTTGACAGGCAGAGTTAGTGAGAGAGAGACAGAGAGAAAGGTCTTCCTTTCCGTTGGTTCACCCCCCAAATGGCTGCTACGGCTGGTGTGCTACGGCCAGTGTGCTGCGGCTGGCGCGCTGCGCTGATCCAAAGCCAGGAGCCAGGTGCTTCCCCCCTGGTCTCCCATGCGGGTGCAGGGCCCAAGCACTTGGCCTATCCTCTACTGCCTTCCTGGGTCACAGCAGAGAGCTGGACTGAAAGAGGAGCAACCAGGATAGAATCCAGTGTCCCGACTGGGTCTAGAACCCAGGGTGCTGGCACTGCAGTGGAAGATTAGCCAAGTGAGTCGCGGCACCGGCCACAATATATAATTTTAAAGCAGCTATTTTTTATAAAGATTTATTTATTGATTTGATAGGAAGAGTTATAGAGAGAGATCTTCTACCCGCTGGTTTACTTCTCAAATGGCCACAAAGGCTGGAGCTGGGTCGATCGAAGAGAAGAGCCAGGAGCTTCTTCCAGGTCTCCCACATAGGTGCAGGGGCCTGAGGACTTGGGTCATCTTCTGCTGCTTTCCCAGGCCCATTAGCAGGGAGCTAGATCAGAAGTGGAGTAGCTGGGACTTGAACCTGCACCCATATGGGATGCAGATGTTGTGGGTGGTGGCTTTACCTGCCACGCCATAGGGCCGGCCCCAGCAGCTGCATTTAAGCAGCTTTCTAATGAATCCACAGAAATTTATTTATTTTAAAATATTTGTTTATTTACTTGAAACAGAGAGAGATAAAGAGATCAATCTTCCATCTGCTGTTTCATTCCCCATATGGCTGTAATGGCTCATGCTGGGCCAGGCCAAAGCGAGGTGCCTGGAGATTCATCTGGGTCTCCCATGGGGGTGCAGGGACCCAGCACTTGGCCATCTTCTGCTACTTTCCCAGGCACATTAGCAGGGAGCTGGATTGGAAGTGGAGCAGCTGGGACATGAACTGCTGCCCATATGGGATGCCAGTATTGCAGGTGGTGTCTTTACCCACTACACTACAACGTTGCCCTCTGTTCAAGGTTTTAAAATCTAGGTTATATTTAAATAATTCTGTTCAAGAATTTTAAATCTAGGTTAGAATTCTCTATAAACTTATGGTCTCTGTATAATTAAATTTTAAGATCATCATAAAGATTACTAGTATGATTATCCTGAGGGATTTCAAATAGTCAAATCTTTGTTCAAGTCTATTCTAATTCATTAGTGATACAGAGTCTGAAATAATGGAAACATTTCTTTAGGGGCTAAATAATTGATTCAATTCAGAAAATGTTATATTCCTTTTTTTCTCATTAATTTGGTGATATGCTGTTGTAAGATTGATTTTGAGCCAAAAGCATTTTTATTAAAATTAGCGGAACATTTGCTTGGTTACATAGGGAAAATATAAAAGCAGTTGATTTTAAAAAAATGATACACGAACTTCAGGGGATGAAGTTGATCAGAGATAATGAAATGTGAAATAAAAGATGATGTTATGGGGTGGGCATTTGGTACAGCAGCTGAGTTTCCACTTCAGATGCCTGTGCCCATATCAGAGTGCCTGGTCAGAGTCCCAGCTCTCCAGCTTTCTGCTCATGTGCACCCTGAGAGGCAGCAGTTAATTCCATCTCTGCCACCCATTATGGGAAACTTGGGTTCAGCCTAGCCCAGTCCTTGCTGTGTATGCATTTTGGGACTAAACTCTGTCTTTCTACATGTCTGCCTTCCAAATAAAATGAAAATAAATAAACAACATATTTTTAAAAAATCATGACCTTATGAACAATATTTTTAAAAGAGGCCGGTGCGGTGGTGCAGTGGGTTAAAGCCCTGGCCTGAAGTGCTGGCATCCCATATGGGTGCCGGTTCTAGTCCTGGCTGCTCCTCTTCCCATCCAGCTCTCTGCTATGGCCTGGGATAGCAGTAGAGGATAGCCGAAGTCCTTGGGCCCCTGCACCCACGTGGGAGACCTGGAAGAAGCTCCTGGCTTCGGATTGGTCACAGCTCCGGCTGTTGTGGCCATCTGGGGAGTGAACCATTGGATGGAAGACCTCTGTCTCTGTAACTCTTGTCTTTCAAATACATAAAATAAAAGTTTTTTTTAAAAAAGATGATGTTACTCCTGAACACAAAATTCCATTTTGGTTGTGTCATTTTTATTCCTGTGACTTTTTTTTAATTAATTTATTAGAAAGACAGATTTACGGAGAGGCAGAGGCACAGAGAGAGAGAGAGAGAGAGAGAGGTCTTCCATCCAATGGTTCAATCCCTAGATGGTCACAGTGGCCAGAACAGTGCCAGTCTGAAGCCAGGAGCCAGGAACCTCCCCCAGGTCTCCCAGGTGGGTGCAGGGGCCCAAAGACTTGGGCTGTCCTCTACTGCTTTCCCAGGCCGTAACGGAGAGCTTAATCAGAAGTGGAGCAGCTGGATCTCAAACCAGCACCCATACGGGATGCCGGCACTGCAGACGGCGGCTTTACCTGCCATAGCACAGCACTAGCCCCTGTTTAGGTTTTCTTTGTCTTCATGGGTCACTTTAGGTAGGCTCTATGTGTCCAGGAATCTATCAAAACTGGCTTCCCAGTTTGTTGGCATACAGCTCTTTGTAGTAATTTCTGATGATTCTCCTTATTTCTGTGGTGTCTGTTGTTACATTTCCTTTTTCATCTCTAATTTTATTGATCTGGGTCTTCTATTTCGTTTTTTGATTAGTTGGGCCAATGGTATGTCAATTTCGTTTATTTTTTCAAAAAAAAAAAAACAACGGTTCTTCATTTTGCTAATCTTTTGTATTGTTTTTTGGATTCAATTTTGTTTCTTTCTTCTCTAATTTTAATTATTTCTTTTCTTCTACTAGTTTTGGGTTTGGTTTGCTGTTGTTTTTCTAGATTCTTGAGATACACTGATAGTTCATTTATTTGGTGCTCTTCCAATTTGTTGATGTAGGCACCTATTGCTATAAACTTTCCTCTTAAAACTGTTTTTGCTGTATCCCATAAGATTTGATATGCTGTCTTCATTTATTTCTAGAAATTTTTTGATTTCTCTTTTAATTTCTTTTATGGCCAGCTGTTCATTCAGGAGCGTGTTGTTCAGTCTCCATGTGTCTGCATATGTTCTAGAGATTCCTGAGTTGCTGATTTCCAGCTTCATTGCAACGTGGTCCAAGAAGATGTATGATTTTTTTTTTTTTTTTTTTTGAATTTGCTGAGACTTGCTTTATGACCTACTATGTGGTCAATCCTAGAGGAAGTTCTATGTACTGCTGAGGAGAATGTGTATTCTGCAACTGAAGGGTAAAAAGTTCTGTAGGTATCTGTTAGGTCGATTTGGTCTATAGTGTCAATTAAATCTGCTGTTTCCTCTGTTTCTTTGCTTATTTTCTGTCCGGTTGTTCTGTCCATTGCTGAAAGTGGAGTATTGAAGTCCCCCATTCCTATTGTATTGGTGTCTATGTTTCCCTTTAGGTCCCTTAACATTTCTTCTAAATCACTGGGTGCCCTGTATTTAGGTGCCTATATGTTTATAATAGTTACATCTTCCCGTTGAATTGATCCCTTAGTTATGGAAGTGTTGTGTTCTTTTGGGGGTGTCATTTTGTCTTTTTTATTCTTGTTTCTTGAATTGGAACGTTGTTTGGCATTTGTAGAGGTACTAGTTGGTTTCCTTTTTTTTTTTTTTTTGCTGTGGTAGCTTTTATCTTTGTACTGTGGCTCTGTAGGTAAGTGGGATGTCTACTTTCAGTGAATATCTAGAGGCTTGTAGTGGGTGTGGCCAGGGAACTCTGTTCAGTTTCCAGGGTTAAGAGGGTGCCTAAGGTGACACACTCAGGCTTGGCGTGGTAAATCATGTCTCTCTCTCTCTCTCCCTTTTTTTTTTTTTTTTTGACAGGCAGAGTTAGAGAGAGAGAGAGAGAGAGAGAAAGGTCTTCCTTCTGTTGATTCACCCCCCCCCAAATGGCTGCTATGGCCGGCGCGCTGTGCCGATCTGAAG